TCATCAATGACTTCCATGTTGCTAAATCCAGCAGTCCATCTTACACTCCTTCTCTTACATGACCTTTACAAAGCATTTAACATCGGTGCTCTTTCTCTCTTTAAACATTTCCTCTCATCTTCTAAAACCCTTTAATCACTGATTTTCTTCTTTACCTCTCTGGCCCCATGTTCCTCCTTTTATCCAGCAATTAAAATACAGGATTTACTCTTGGCTCAGTCTTTCAGTCTCCTCTCATTCTGAGCAACTTTCTCCCCCTTTACAGCTTCAACTACCACCTATACAAAGAAGTCTCACACACTCATATTTCTACCCCAGACTCCCTTGAGCTTCAGGATCACCTATCTACTGGTTGTCTCAACTGCACCTCAAACTCAACATAACAAAAAAATCAAATTATGATCATCTCTCCCAATCCAGGTCCCCTTTCAGGGTTTCACATCTCAGGATAGCATGACTGTCAAGTCATGCTGAACAGAAATCTAGGACTCATTTTTGACACTTCTCACAGCCTCACCACCCTTATCAACTCCACCACTAGGCACTGACTTTACCTCCTCAGCCCTCTGTAAATCCTGAACGCAAGCTGCCATCAATCTCAGAGACTGGACTATGGCAATAACCTCATAACTAGTCTCTAAGCAATATTCGTGCCTCTTCAATTTATTCTCTATGCTGTCTACATGTCACCTAACCCAATGAGAACATTTTAAGGGTTTCCCATTGATTCTAGAAAAACCAGTCTTTAACACGGTCTGCCCTCCACCCAGCTCTCTAGCCTCCCACACACCACCGGTCCCTGCTCTCTCTGCTCCAGCCGCACTGGCCTTCTCTCTGCTACACATCAGGCTCCTTCTGCCTCAACTCCCTCCCTTCTTTCTCTAGCATAACCTCATCCTTCCATCTCAACTCAGGCTTCCTTTCCTCAGGTACCTTGTACCTTTCCTTCTTAACACTTAGCAAAGGTGTAATTTTACATCTCTTTGTGTACTGCTTATTTCCAGTTACAGATTTCATCCAGGTTTCCCTTACCTGCAGAGGTTCCTCTTGTGCCACCTGCTCATTCAGCTTTTCAGTGTAAGCATCACAGATTTCAGTCACTTGCACAACCCCCTGGAGGCCATTGGGGAGGCTAATCACCAGGTCCAGTTCATTTACCTCTTTCACGCAACCCAGAATCCGCATTCCCTCACATAGGGACTAGAAGAGAAAGAGTGAAATATGTACAACAGGGAGGAGAACAATGATTGGGGAGGTTGGGGGTGGGGTGGGGTGTCAGGCTTCTGGTCCCAACGTCCCAACTCTGACATATAAAAGCCACAGGAGATTCACATGTGTATATGTCAGTACACTCATCAAGCATCTGACTGAGCACCACGAAAAGCTTAAATTATACAACAGCGTTTACAGCCCGAGGATGCTGCTGGGCACTCTCGCCTTTTCCTTTATTCCAAGCAACCTAAATTCAAATGCCTGGCAGGCATCACGATACAGGGCGCAGGCCAGCAGAGACAGTGGCAGTCTGGAGTGTGCATGCCATGTCTAAACGGTGCAATCACTATTCTACTCCATGTGGCTACAAACATGAGGGAGTGTGAGCTTGTATGGTCAGCACTTTCAAATTTTAACAAGCCAGAAAATTTTATACAAAATTTTTTAGTTTTCTAATGTTGGCACCAAGTTAAACATTTTTTTTTAAGTAGCACACAGGACAAATAAAATATTTCTGTAGGCTGAATCTGAATCTATCCCTTCAGAATCATTTGACTTTTTTTCCTTTTTTACAACTAACATGGATCAGACTTATCTAAAAATTTAAGGAACATAATAAGACTGCTTCACTTCTCTGAGATAGTTCCCACATCTATAAAACAAAAGGGCAGAATAAGAGTGACTGCTAACTTGATTCATTGTTCTAACTTATGAATCTACTAAAATACAAGTTCCCTGAGGACATTGGAATGAGGGACTCAGCAATTAAAAAGAATAACAAACAAAACAAACTACAACAAAAACATGATCACAGGCACTGATTAATAACTGAGGAAAATGATGCTCAATTCTGAACAAAAAAATGGAAGAATCTCTACAGACACAAGTTATATACACATGAAAAGAATGAAGGAAAAATAAGGAAGGAAGAAGAACATATACAGACTTAATTACGCAACCCAGAGAGTTTGCTTAAAACAAAATCAAGCTTTAACACACCTCCTTATTAAGGATTTCAAACTTCTCTCTTACAAACTTGCTGCTTTCTCTCTTTTCAATTTTCAACTTTTTTGTTTGTGCTGGTCCTTTCTGGTTCTTTTTCCTTTTGGTGGATTCTTCTTCAGTAGAAATCTAAAGGGGGAAAAAGATCCAAAAGAATGAAAAGAGCAATCCTGGCCCTTCCCTCTAGTCTCAGGTCTTCTGTGATCTTGCTTGTTACTCCTCCACTCCACTCCACTCCCAACTATTCCTTTAATTCCTGTCTCCATTCCAATGCTCCCATTCTATCACCAATGCTCCCTTTGCCTAAAATATGAGCTCCGTTTTCAAAATCTGTTCTCAAAAGCCCCTTCTCTCCTGTGTTCTTCCTCCCTTAACTGGGATAGACATGGGGGTGCCACTAGAAGCAATTTGGAACAATGTCCGAAAATAAAAGGTGGGGTCACAAAGACCCAAGTTAAACTGTCATCTCCACCATAACAAGCTGTGGGGTTTCAGCAAAATTATATAACCTCTCTGGGCCTCAGCTCCTCACCATGCAATGGTGATCTCTACTTCCCAGTACAGCTGGAAAGATTACATAAAATAGACATAAGGGCCATACAATCAAATGTTAGTTCCCTTCCCCCTTGCATTTGGAGCACAGCCTACTCTAGGTGAAGATTTCAAATTTTAAAGCAAATTATGATCATTTTATATACAAGAACCTCATTTTAAAATGCAATGATCAAACTGCTGCTTCTCCATCCTTAACCAACATGGAACAAAATTCCTAAGAATAAGAAACAACAGCACTGCAAACTCAAATACTAAATGCCATGTTTCAAAAGATATAGCCTTGTGGTGGTATGGACTCTCTAACAAGTTCAGTTTATAAAAGTGGATTTCAAAAATAAGCCAGTCTGGAAAATAATACATTCTCAGACAAGGCACATTCTTCATAAGGACACCAGAGAGAAAGTGTTCAGTGAGTCTTACCAAAAAAAGCACACCACTTACATCAAATAAGTTGTCATGTTCAACTGAGTACTGGAAAGCTTTCTCTGATTTGTGGGTCTTTCTTGTACCCCCTCGGGGGAAGCTTTCTTCCATGGTTGCCATGTTTGGGCCTCCTAAAAACAATGCAAAGAGTTGGTGAGATGTAACCTTGGCATCAGATTTCCTAAAGGCTGTGATCCACAGGCAAGATATAGAGCCTTCTAGCACCAGTGTGCTAGACAGCATTCACGACTAAAAAATAGATGGCTTGATGCCAGGCAACAGATAATCCATAATTTATCTTTCCAAAGGTCTTTGATTCAACACCACAAGTCCACACATTTTCCTCCAGAAAAATAAGTTATAGAGTCAATGTAGTAAATATCATTAAGCAGCTTCAGTTAAGTCACAGATACACAAACAAACATATAACCCCCTACCTTCAAAGAATATGTATATTTAAAAAAACATATAACCCCCTACCTTCAAAGAATATGTATATTTAAAAAAAATTTTTTTTAAATGGAGGTACTAGGGAAGGAACCCAGGAGCTTATGCATGCTAAGCACCTGCTTTACCACTGAGCTATTCCCCACCCCAGAACATGCATACTTTTAAGAGGATAATACAATTATGCAAATAAGTTAAAGTATAAATCAGATTATAAACTACTGATAAAAACATAGAAAATAATGAGGCTTCAGTAAAGGAGGCAAACTTCCTAAAGAAGATGCCTTTGAGCTGAATGTTAAAAGATGAACAGGATTTGGACAGGTGGAAAGGGAAAAGCAGAAGGAATGTGAGGAAAAGGATGGAATAGGAAAAGCCAATTTCAATAAGCACCAGCAATATGTCTGTCAAACAACTGCTCAAAAGCCTGCTTTTGCCTTTGAAGAACTGTTCAACTAGACCACAAGGTGAATAAAGCTTAAAAAGGAGCTTAGGCTTTTGTGTGGAAGATCTTTAATTAGATATGAGTAAATTAACGTTTACTTTGGCAAGTCAGAGCCTTAAGTAGGGTAAAAGATAGAACAGTAGTCAAAAAATATGTGTACTGTAGATTGGACAGGAAGAGAAAGAACTGAAGGAAGGTACGCTGGGTAGAAGGATTCAATTACAGTACAACAGAGAACCATGAGACCAGAACTGGGTATAAGTAAGAACGGAATATAAGAGGGGTTGGTTCTGAGAGACACTTGGGAGTAAGAATCTAGAAAGGCTTGAGACTGTGTAAGAGGTGGGGAACTCAAAGCAGTTTCGGAGTTGGAATCAGGAGTGGATGTGTGTTTCTGAGAAACAGGAAAATGCAGTTGGGTCCAGTTTGCTGGGAATTTGACCCTAAATCTCATTTCAGACAAGGGGAAACTGAAGCTTCAAAGAGTAAAGCGACCCAGGGGCAGAGACTTAAGCTATGCCCCGGGGACAGATCCTGACGTTACAGGAGCCACTCGAGCAGAGTCGGCTTCTGAGCGGGGGCTGGCACTGCAGGTACATGGCAGGGACCCGGAGGACCTAGTCCTGGGACAGATCTGGAAGCCACAACGTTTCCTCCTTTGTCGCCTTTGCCCGTACTCACCAGCCCCGGGACGCCAGCACTTCTACTTCGGAGGCCGCGCCACTATAATCACGCACGCGGAGTCTACTACACCGGAAGCCCAACGCTCCTCTTCCGGAAGCGTGGGCGGGCTCAACGCCCTACTTCCGTTACTACACAGTACTAAGTCCTAAAGGGCGGGGGGAGGAGATTGAGAGACCGGAAGCGGAAGGGCGGGACTTCGAACCGTAGCCAATCGACGCAGAAGGCCGAATAGGTAAGGCCTGTTGAACGCGTGCGGGGGAGGTGGCTTCTTCCGGGTGGGCCGAGGGGCAGCTGCGTATTCAGCGCTGAAGGACACAGGCTGCGGAGTTGGTGTCTTTTGGAAGGTAGGTGGGGAGGGAGCCCGGGTTTGGACCTCGCGCGTCCGCTTTGCGAGGCTTGCTTAGAATCGACTTGTTCCTGGTCCGGGCACACCGCGAGTTTTTTGCTTTGGTGGGGTGAGAGTGGTGATGAGTCGAAAAAAATTAGGGAAAATTAGGGCCGGGCGAGAGGGTTCGGACAGTGACCCGGAAGCCTCGGTGCGAGGTAAAGGCCTCCCCACCCCCAGCTCCTAAAAGCCCTTAGGATACATTTTCCAGTGGAGAAAAATGAGGCGCGCAGCGAGGGGAGTCCCCCAAGGTCACCCAGTGACGTAACATTGGACGAGAACTCAGGCTTCTGACCCTACCTTCGGTTAAATGACCCTCTTCTCTGTATGCCCAAAGCAGTTTGTTTCCACTGAGCTGTGCTTAGAAAGCTGGCCAGCCAGGCCTCCTTTAGCCGGGCTGTGCTACCGTCTTTGTCAAGCGGGCCTGCACTTCGCCAGGCCCGCGATAAGCGGGTTAGATTTCAGTCTGTGTTTGGTCAGCGGGAAGGCATTTTCTAGGAGGTAGCGAGAACAGAGAGCTGTAAACTTGAAGTGCAGGAGGCTGCTTCTGGTACCTGAGCGGCTCTCACTCGTTTTTGCCTCCTTCACTTAATGATCTCAGCATTCCAGGTAGGTGTCCATACAGGAAAACAGCAGTATCAAGAAACAGAAAATGGGTTGGATAGGTGTAGCTCAAGTGGTAGAGCACAGTCTTAGCATACACAAGTTCCTGGATTCAATCTCCACTACTGCCTCTAAAAATAAATAAATAAATAAACCTAACTACCACCCCCTGCAAAAAAAAAAAAAAAAACAGAAAATGGAAAAGGCAGTTGGTCAAAACTTTGGGCCTTTTCTGGAATGCCCATTTCACTGGTGAAGAGAGGCATGAAAAATTAATTGTATTGAATAGTGGGTTCGCTTCTTAATTAGAAACAAAAGGGAAGATCCTATTGCTTAGATTTTGCCATAGGCTTCCGTTTAACAATTAGTATGGTTATTTTTAGCCTTAGGTAATTTTCTCCTTCATTAATGTCTTCTTAACTTAAGTATGACTTAAAAGCAAGTATCAGTTCAATTATTCCACAAAGGACACTAACACAAAGATTCCTGATCTTTGCCCAAAAGTACCTGCAGTTTGCTGACGGTACAAATCAATAGTTTGCAGGCTTTGGTCCAGTTGTTTATCAGCAACATTCCACTTCCTCCTCCATCTCAGCGTTTGAAGAGTCTTCCTTTAAGACCTAGACTAAATTGCAATTCCTATACCATGCCCTTCGCTGCAGTCAGAATTAGTTCTCTATGACACCAGCCTTCCTTCTATATTATGTAGAGATAAATTAAAACACCTTAATATTCTTTCAGTTGGACACCACATTCTCCTGAAATTTTTTGTTAGACACAAGGTAGTGGGGATTGTTAGTTAATAATTTGACAAAGTTAAGCCCTTGTTTTCTGTAGAGTTTCTCCTAGAAACCCACTTGATGCTGTAAGAATCCAAAAATCTATCCTGAAGATAATAGAAAAGCATGTTTTTAGTAAATTGGCTGAAATGAGATAATATAAAAGCTACATCATAAAGATTTCTTTTAATGGAGATTTTCCTCCTTGGACTGGACTGGCCAAGGCTCCTGAGGAGGCCTAAGGAAGTTTGGAATCCTTCATTGCTCCATGAACCTTGAAACCGTTCACGATTAAGATCACTTGTCCACATTTTCATTGCCAACTCTTTGCACGTGAATGCCTCTGGAGGCCTTTGAATGGTAAAGAGAAAAGTGCCAGTTTCCATAGCAACAGCTTCCTCAGAGGTGTCTCCCACTCTTTCATCAAGAGCCAGCTGAGTCACTGCCACTGCCTACCAATCTCGACCGGACCTCGACCGGCTCGTCTATGTTGCCAATCGACTCGGCGTGGCGTCGGTCGTGGTAGATAGGCGGTCATACAGACGAATTTTCGAGTGTTGTTCTGATGACCTTTGAATATGCCTTTACTATCTTTTTAATTTTGAAAGAAATACATGCTGTTGTAAAATACATACGTTCTATAGGTGTAGCCCGTCTTAAAAGTTTGCTATATGTTCTTACAGGGTTTTGTTTTGTTTTTTTAATATGTAATTACTAATAAGCATTTGGTTTTCTACTTCTGTTACTGCAATGTTTTTCGAACTTTAACATGTATTAGAATCACCCAGAGGGCATATTACAACAGATGCTGGGCGCCAGTTTCTGATTCAATAGGCCTGAGAAATTGGGTTTCTAAGACATTTTCACTGATGCTGACAGTCTAGGAACCAGACTTTGAGAATCATTGATGTGCTCTATAATGTCCAGAAATAGGATTTTTTTAATGTTTAACATTACATAGGGACATCTTTCTGTGTCAGTACGTAAAGATCTATGTGCATGGGAATATCTTTCCCTGTCTATATATAAAGATCTACATGCATTTTATTTCCTCCAATGGAAACTCATTTATGTCTCTTGTAGGTGGATTTTTGGTTCTTCCAGTTTTTTATTTTCATAAACTATATTTCAGTTACCATCCTTGAACCATTAGCATCGTTCCACTTTGTAACATTTCTAAAAGGATAAATTCCTAGAGAACAAATGAGCCAGCTAGATGAAGGGGTATACGAATTTTATAATTTGATAGATATTGCAAAATTGCACATTAAGAGCATTACACCAGTTTACACTCCCTTCTGGCAACAGAGGGACTGTTTATTTTCCCACATTCTCACTACTACTGCTTACTATAAACTTATCTTTGCTACTCTGATAGTTAGATTTTAGTCTCATTTTACATTTCTTTGATCATGAGTTTATCTTTCTATGTTTCACATTTTTACTTTGGCCACCTTTGTATTTTCTCTTGCCTAAGATGATTAAAATATTTACCCATGTATTTTTCAGCATTTTTGGTTTCAGCTTCCTCATCACCAGCAGTATGTATCAACTCAATCTAGTAAATGATCCCTTCTCTCCCTTCACATGGAGGTCCTAAAATATTTATAGGAAAAATTGTAAAAAGAAGGATTGCAAGGTGAGCTGTTTAGTTGCTGGCTACCTCTATGAGAAACTTTGAAAAGTATCACAAGTTCCACTAGCTTTCAACTAGTCTTAAAACTGACTAATTCCATGTACAGTACACTATGGCATAGATAGAGCCAGCAATGAAAGCAGGTTACACTGGGTTGGACGATGGACTTAAGAGACTACTGTGTTCTCCTCCTATGCTGAGTGATTTGATGTATATTCTGGAGTGTTGAGTAATAGCAACCAAGATAAAGTCCTTCTTTCCAAAAATTTCTTATCAGCAAGATTTTTTTCCACCACTTTGCTGCTTTGTTGGGTGAGGCATATATAAAATTTGCAATATTTATATGCAGTGACTTTTTGAATTTTTTAATTAAAAATTTTTCTTTTAAATTGCATCCAAACCAATGTATTCCTTTCTTTCTTTTTTTAAAAGACTGAAATCATGGCAGGTCCAGAAACTGATGCCCAATTCCATTTCACTGGCATCAAAAAATATTTCAACTCTTACACTCTCACAGGGAGAATGAATGTAAGTATTAATGATACCTTTAAGCAGTTATGTTTTAGAGTAATACAGGTGTGACAACAGCCTTGTTTACTTTTTCCTTTCTTTTTCAGTGTGTTCTGGCCACGTATGGAAGCATTGCTTTGTTAGTCTTATACTTCAAGTTAAGGTCTAAAAAAACTCCAGCTGTGAAAGCAACATAAATGGTAAGGAGTTAACATTTAAAAGTTTATAACTAAGCCTTTTGATGTTAGGGTTCCCCCCCACCATAAAAGTGTCTTGTCATTGTGCAAAATTCATTAAAGAAAAAAATAGAAAAATATTGCCCATGTCCCATTACCCTGAAAACTTGTGTTAACTTTTTTTTATGTATTTGGTTTCCAATGGCTATGATTCATATCTGTAATTTTGCCTTACAACATGTATGTTTTCTGTAATTTGAATGCATGAGTGCTCATGGATATATGCTTTATTTTACAGAGGAAATGTCTCCTATTAGAATTTTTTTAAATACAAATAACATTACAGTGAACGCTTTAGAGCATGAAGTTTTTGTATCTGTGATTGTTCTCTTAGGCTAAAGTGTTTTCCCAAAGCGTTGTGGGGCACCCAGCTTTGTGCCCCAGGTGATGTTGAATAATGTCAGTTTCTGATTTTTGTTAATTTGATGAGTGAAAAATTTTTTTGATGAAGTTGTGTATTTTTGTTTACCATTTATATTTTTAACAAACATTCTCTGTGTGTGGCAATGTTGAATAATGTCAGTTTCTGATTTTTGTTCACTTGATGAGTAAAAATAATTTTTTTGATGAAGTTGTATATTTTTGTTTGCCATTTGTATTTTTAACATTTTCTTCATGTGTTTTTCTCGTGTAACAATGGGGACTTTCTTTTTGTGAAGACCTTTCTCGATATGCTCTTTTTGTAGTAATTAATCAACCTTTTAAATCAGTTGCAAATGTTTGTACTAGTTCGCTTGCTAGTTTCAAATTTTTATGTAAGTAATTCTGTCTTTTCCTTAAATCCCTCAGATTTCGTTCTCTTATAGTGCCATCCAGTCTCCATTTGCCCTTGCTTGAGTGAATAAATATTTGGTGTGTTAGCAGATGATGTGCAAAAAACCCAAAACCCAGATCTAATGTAGTTATCTATAACAGAAAAATTTTCTTCCACTCTTAAAAGCTTTTCCAATCCCAAAACTGTTGACTTAGGGGACTGCATATCCTAGAATGCTGTGTGGTCCGTTACTTATTCTTGACAAACAGGTGGTTTTTTGCCCCATTTTTCTTATTAGGTACCTCCTAATTTTGTTTTTCTAATGAGGATACTACCACCTTCTCTGTTTTCTAGTGTTTACAATGTTACTTTATGTACTAGGCTTTTCCAGTGGTATATGATTAGGATCATTCTGAATTATTGGCAGCTTTTTGTTCAAGTGGAGTGTAGGTTAAACTGTGTTAAGCTGAGAGACACCTAAATTTTGAGGAGTAACTGACTCCTTTGAGATTCTAATTAATTTGCATTAATTTCAGGGGAGGTTCCTGGATAGTCCTGTACGAGTAATTACTAAGTCTTAAAGGTAGAGTTGAACACATTTGTGTCTAAACTATTTTTACTTTGTTTATAGGATCCTAAACTGTACCTCATCTGTTAAGTTCCCACGCCTGAAGAAACTAATGTCAGCTCATCATGTGATACTCAATTTGTACAATAAATTATGAACCTGGAAAAGCTGGTTGTCTTTATTTACAAGATATCAAAAATATAAAAATTGTACAAAATGCAACAAAGGCAAAAAAACTGGCAGTGACTTGGTCTAAATCTCTTAGTTTCCGAAAGCAAGGCTCAGTACTGGAGGTAAGCAACTGAAATGTCTGTCTGACTTCAAGTGTCCTAGGTTGTATGTAGCCATTTTAGCTGAAGTAGAACATGGAAGTTAATTTCTTCACCTGGTTTATAGAATGTTTGGGTGCACTCAAAATCCAAAAGGTATAAATTCAGATGTCAGTGGATGGTTGTACTTCATCTATTTCTCAGAAAGGAACTGTAGTTCACCTAACCAGTTATATACATTCCACTAATCATGAGCCAAGCAAAAATGTTAGTGGATCATTTAACATAGTACTTGAGTGCCATACAGTAACTACATTTTTACAGCAGAAACATACATGCTCATAGAATTCTTCAGCTAAAATTCAAGATGGTATTATTATTACTCAATTTGAATCTTGAAGCAAGATGAATTATTGAAATCACTTGATTTTTTTCTAGACATAATAAATTAAAATAGCATTTGAACAGAAAATGCATAGTTTCCACACAATCCAAAGCACCATAAATGTCCCCTCCACGAACATAATACCTCTTATTCAACTAACGGAAATTAGTTAAATGTGGTTGCTATAGAAACGTGGAACTGTCCTGTTCAGATTTTCCAAGCAGCATACTTCCAGATCCATAAAGACAAAACATTCTTTGTAGCTTAAATATTAATCACTGAGGTATTTGCTTTTAGTCTCCCTTTTTAAAACAGTAGCTTCCAGAGGTCTTTAATACCGATGGTTTATTGTGGACTATAAGCTCCTGCAGCTAGAACCAAGTTTCTTCGAGTAAAATGGAGGTGTACAACTGGTGTTGATTTGGTCATATATGTTCCCAACAATAACTCCTGTGAATTCTCAGGTAAATTTATATGCCCGGTGGCTGTAGTAAAGTCATCAGTCTCTAAATCTTCAAATGCTTTAACAGCATCCCATAACCGGACTGTATTATCCATTGAACCTAAGAGGAAATCAAAGGAAATCATTTAGTAGCATCTACCATATTTAGATGCTGACATTCTGTCAAGTAATTTATGCATTTACTGTATATTTCTGATGAAGAAATCTGAACTTGATTAACAACTCTTTTCCCTCTAAAGAAGCATTTCAAGCAGTAGTTTAACCTGAGAAGTCAATATACATGTAGGTGACACTCTGGAATCATTGCTAAGGAGAAGCAAAACCTAAAACAGCAGGACTTAATTTTGCAATTGTCAATATTGTGTTTCCTTTAAATGTACCATTGACCCATTACCGCAAAGCCATTTCTAGTCACTTACCTGATGCCAAAATTTCACCATCTCTACTAAATCTTAGTGAACAGACTGTATCAGTGTGACCTTTTAATTCTCCAACCATCAAACCATGTCCAATATCCCAAAGGAGTACTCTGCCATCTGTTGCTCCTGTAGCCAGGAATCTCCCATTGGGAGAAAATGTTAAGGAGTGAATTGGTCCCTAGAAAAGTTGGAAAAAAGGTTATCAGAAGTAGGGTTAAAAATACCTAAGAAAGTAAGGCAAAAGTTAGAATTACAAAGTTCAGTGGTATGAACAGTATCTTTAATGTGTATGTCTCACTGGTTATTTTTTAAACTTATCTCAAAAAGAACCTTGAGTGCTGGAATAATAAAGGTGTAAAATACCTTGTGTCCAGTGAAGATCCTTACACAGTTCCCATTCAGGACATCCCAGAGCCTCACAGTTCTGTCTGCAGAGCCCGTAGCAACATAATTAGAATTTGGATGGAATCTGGTACAATTCACATCAGCAAGATGGCCAGCAAATATCCTTAAAGGCTGGTAGTGGTCTGTAGCCCAGAGCCTTCAAAAAAAAAAAAAATTGAAAACAAAAGATAATTAGCAATTAACTGTGAAATACCAAAATCCTATCCAGAATAAATACAGAAACATCCAAGTGAAATGTTGGCTCCAAATGGGTCCCCCTCATTAGTTACCTGAGCAAAGAAAGATGGAATGTCTGAGACTAAACATTCTTAAGAAGAACTAAACTGATCTGGTACAAAAGTTTTTTAATCCTATAATACTTTAGTTCTCTGTATGTACACCCCCGTACCTCACTCAACTCTTAGTCTAACCCGCAGAAAAGTATTTTTCCCTAGTTCTGATCACCACATGGTTTATAACCCATGCTACCTCAATTCTGAACTTTTAAGGAGATGACAGAGAAACAAAGGTGCTACAGTGGTTGTGAAAGACCGTTTTGCATCTGGTGGTGGGCAGGGGAAGAGCATGGACTCTATAGACATGACTGCAGACAAGGTAAGAGTCCTATCCCAAATTCATTTTCAAATAAGGACCTATAAATGCTGACATTCTCAAAAAGTTGTTACTGAATAAAAGTGAAAATGAGTTTGGCTGGAGTTTGCAATTACTACAAGAAAAATTCTGTTTGTTCCTTGAACAGGCCCAGTCACAAGATCACAACATTCTTACCGAGCTACTCGGTCGTGGCCCCCTGACACAAAATAGTATCCGTATGGAGAAAACTGTGTGTCCCACACTGGATAGTTGTGTCCTTTATATCCCACCAAGCAAGTAAATGTTTGAAGACTCCACAATCTAACAGTTCCATCCTCTGAAGAGGAAAGCAGATAGTTCCTGAGAGAAGAGAAAGTAATATATTTGATTCCTAAAATAACTTAGTTACCTGTCCATCTTTTGCATATATTTGAATGTATTAAATGTAGCTAACTGACATGCTACTTATCTCACTTTTAATTTATACATGAAATCCACAGTAGATAACAAGAGTTGAAAGTACTAACTAGTGTTAGTCGTAACACTGTATCTACTGAGTACCTACTAAATGAGGTTAGATTATTTTAAAAACATATCTCTTAAAAGGAAAATCACAATTCTTTAGGAGAAAAAAAAATACCAACAGGTAATGACAAAAAGTATGGTCAGATTGGTAAACTGAGAAGGGCTTCTAAGAAATGTGATATGTCACTTAAAACTCAGTAAATTTTTTACTTTAAAATGGAGATGCAATTTTCATATCCTGTACAAGTTGTGTAAGAATTTTAAAGTAAACATCTTTTGGACAAAAAAAAAAAAAGCAAAAACAACACTACAGACATGCCATTAATACTCTACCTTCATCAGGGCTAAACACAAAAGCTGAGCTACTCAGAAAGTAATAAGGTTTTCACTGAAATCAGAAGTTTCCCTTGAGTAAAAATGTACTATCTGGCTAAACCCTGTAAAACAACAAAAATCCTCATTCTCAGTTTCATAAAGATGAAAATCTTGATGGATTGAAAGCTATTATCTATCCAATAAGATATAGGTAGTATTATGAAAACAAAATACCCTCCCCCCTTTCTACAGAATATTAGAGATCATGAAAAATAGGCAAACACCTTTTGTGGGTTTTAAATTCCCTTTACACTATTCCCCTAGTTCTTCTGATTATACAAAGATAAGTCAATTGATAGCAGTAGCCACAAAACCCAAAGCAGGAACCCAAAGAAGCAATTCAACCCTTACTGGAGTTACAAAACTGAAGCTAATTTTTATAACTGGCAAACACTGAAGCTATTCATCTTGATTCTGTAAATCTGGGTATCGTATATCAGTACCCCAAGATGAATTAGCAGATGGCAAGATTCTCAAAGATAATGAATGATAGGCAACCATGAGATTTTTCTAACAGATTTTTTCCCCAACATTTGCATAATGTTTCCAGTAGTTAACACTCATATAGTCCCAACGTAAGACTGCAGTATTTAATATTTATTGTTTGGTATTTTACCTATCTGGACTGAAGCTGGCTCCATAGACAGGCCCACTGTGACCATACAAAATCTTCAATTCACTTGCTGTTTTCTCATCCATGATTCTTTCTAAGACATCATCTGATTCTTTATCTATGAGGCTAAGATCTAAAATAGTCCAGAAATATTAATTTTTAAAAGGACATTAATTAAAACATTTTAAGACAATTACATCACAGTTTAAGAGAACAACTAACATTTGAACAGTTTCTCCTACATACCAACCACTGTGCAAATGCCTCTAAATTAGCTATCATCCCAGTGGATAAGAGAAAAAAATGAGGTTCAGAACAGTTAAATTATATGCCAGAGTGCACACAGCTTAGTGTTGAAACTAGAACTGAAACTCAAATTTGTCAACCATATCACAATGTTTCAAAAATTTATAAAACTACAGAAATACTAAATTATCAAAAATGTATTATCTTGTTTAAACAACACAATTAGCAAGAAACTTTCTTTAAAATGAAATCCTAACCTTATTAGTTCATTTTAGCCATTTTTATGGCTAAAACAGAAAGTACTCTCCCCACTATTTACTTAAAGGTTTTTTTTTAATTCACAAAAAAAACAACCAAAATAGGACAGTTTTAACCTTAGGGAGTTTTCTAGCCTTATCCCCTCATTCTACAGATGAGAAAACTGAGGCTCAAAAAAGTTAAACCAGTGTAGCACCCCAGTCTCCTGATTGCCACTCCAATGCACTTTTCACTGTTGGGAATGTTGTTAGCCATTTTGACTTAAAAGTAAAATCAAGTGAAAGTCTGCTGAGATTACAATGTCTTATGTATATTCCATGGGATCAAGATTGGTGTAAACTAATGATGAATTTACATCCTGACAAGTCATCTCAGTTACCTGCTGCTTGTTTGACACTACGAAGCTTTTTGGGTGTCACAGACCACACTCTGACAGTTGAATCTGCAAAACCTCCAGCTATCAAACTAGAATCATCAGTGACATCCACCGCAGTGAGACCCTGCCAATAAAAATGTTAAAAAAATTTTTTAATTAGAAAAAAGCCTTATACTGTTTTTTGGGGAAAAATTACAATCACATCTTACAGAATACATAAGGATAGGCATTTTTCTCATATAAAAGATTATTTGAGATTT